ACAAACAGAGCATGATTAATTATTATACCGTATGGAATTTATTGGAACGTCGAATTTGTGAAAAAAAAATCATCGACGTTGGCACAATTTTTTTCCGGTTCGTATCAAATGCGCGAAATGACGTCGAAAAATGTTACATTCTGTCTATTCGTACTTTGTATATCGTTCAATTGACGCGTATGCAGTATGCAAGTAACGAGAAGTGAAAAAAAATTTCTGAACGCGTCGATGCAAAAGCTCTCACGTATCTCACGTTCACTGTCACGTTTATAAATGTTATTTTATTCGAATCGTCCAAATATTTACGGATGACAACACTGTGTTTATAGCTGGATCCCTTTCAATAGAATATTCGTGAATAAATGATTGACTTTCGTTTCCCCGCTGGTCAGCTATTCCTGTTTGCTTTCACATTTGTTTTATAGAATTCTTGAATACCCGTGCGACTTGCAAACTCGGCTCCGAGCTCTTTTCGTTCGGACAAGTTGCCAGGAATTTCAGTTATAAGCTTGCGTCAGTTTCGCAGTAAGCCGAAGTCCAACGGCTATAATTCGGCATCGTAAGGATATAGTAGGATAGGTTAGGTTAGGTTTAGGTTAAGTTAAGTCTAGGTTAGGTTTAGGTTACTTACGAAATTTCTTGCCTTGAAAAAAAAGCGAGAAACGACAAATGGAACACATGGCGGAAATTTCAAATACGTTAAATTAATTCGTGTAATGATATTACGTTCAGCAACGTGACGAACAAATAGCGAGCAAAAACGAGTTGGGAATACTAGTAATGTCGTTTTTTGATACCGTACAAAATTTTTTTATTTCATTTAAGAGTCAGTAGAGTTTTAATCTATAATTAAAATAATTTAACAATGAGCACACTAAACGTCAATGTAGAGGATAACATTGAACTAGGTTATGTTGTAACAAGTTAAATTATTGTCACTAGGTTAGGTTCAGGTGGCAACGTTTATCAAATTTGAAGGAAACGACATTACTTGTGGATGGCCGTTAAATAGAATCTTGAAACTTTAAGCGAACACGTGCACGAGGATATATATATATATATATATATATATACGTCAACCGAGATTATTACTTTCCACGAGTTTCTTTCGACAATGGCATTTTCTTTTCTGTAATTTCCGAGACTCGATATACTTTCAGCGTCGTGTAATTAGTTATTGAACCGAGCGCTACGTTCCTACTACGTTCTACCGACTATTTGCTCTTGATGATTGTTCAGTTGTACGCCCCAGATCCACCGGCGCGATATTCATCTCGCCCCGATGAATTCTCTAAAAGATAGAGTACGTGTTCTGTGCTGCTTTCTCTCCTCGAGTCGTCCAGCCTTTCGCCAGAATCGAGCGTAAGAGGATATATCTACAAAGTGCAGAGAGAGAGAGAGAGAGAGAGAGAGAGAGAG